CAGCAGCACAGAAGGCCCTCGCCACTAATTTGCTGCTGCAGTACTGCTTCCGAGGCCCTGGAGGCCCGAAGTTGCGTGTGTACGGTCCGACCCGATTTGCCTACCCAAACCCCACTGCCGTTGCTGCTGCTGCCGCTGCAGCTGCTGCAGCAGCAGCAGCAGCTTGTGCTGCTGCTGCTGCTGAAATGCTTCCAAAAGCTGCACTTGGCCCCCACTTCTTCTCTTAACTTTACTTCTTATTTGCCTTCAGAAGGCCCGCAGCCGACGCCCGTCAGCAGCGGGCCCCACAGGCAGCCGCAGCACAGGCTGAGGCGCTGCTGCGCAGCAGCAGCAGCAGCTAGCTAGCCACAGCTAGCTGCGGGTAGCTAGCCACAGCTAGCTAGCCACAGCTAGCTAGCCTGGCTGGCCGCAGCTAGCTGCGGGCGGCCGTAGGCAGCGGCGCCTGGGCGCAGCCGGCCGTAGCTAGCCGCAGCTAGCCACAGCTAGCCACAGCTAGCCACAGCTAGCTACGGGCAGTTACAGGTAGTTGTTGTCTAAAGCTCGCAAGCTCTTGCCCCAGCTAGCCACAGCTAGCCACAGCTAGCTGCAAGTGACTCTGGCTAGCTGGAACTACAGGTAGCTAGCTCGGTAGGCGGCAGGGGCAGAGAAGAGCCTGCTGCTGCTGGCTGCAGCGCGAAAAGAATCTCTGCTGCTGCTGCTGCTGCTGCTGTTGCGCAGCCACAGAGGGGCTGTGAGCTCTGCTGCTGCTGCTGCTGCTGCTGCTGCTGCTGTAGGTTTGCGCTGTGCGTGGCTGCAGCAGTCGCTGGTTGCTTCCCGTGTCTCCTTTTTTTCGAAGTTTGGGTATTTATTTAATTACAGAAAATAAGAGTAATTTATTTAAAAAAAACTAAGCTGCAAGCTCAGCTGTCTTGTCTTCCAGACACCCCACAGTTTCTTCACGGCGTTCAGGTGTACGTACACTCGGTTCCGCTGCTGCTGCAGCTGCTGCCTTTGCTGCAGCAAACGCAGCAGCTGCAGCAGCAGACACGCTGCTTCTAATTTCCTTACCCAGTTCTGCTGCTGCTGCCCACCCCACAGCAGCAGCAGCGGCCTCGTCCAGCCCGAACTCGTTGCGCAGCAAACTGTCCACCTCCCTGCAGCAGCAGCAGCAGCAACGGCAGCAACAGCAGCAAATGTCGCAGTGGTAGAAGAAGGCCCGGAAAGGCATGCGGCTGATGCCCCAAACCCTAAACCCTAAACCCTACGGGGTCTTGCACTCTATCCCACGCCCCAAACCCTAAACCCTAAACCCTAAACCCTACGTGATCTTGGACTCTATCCCCTCGAGTACGGGTTTGAGAAGGAAGTCGACATTGAGCAGCGCCTCCGTCTCCAGACTTACTTCGCTGCTGCTGCTGCTGCTGCTGCTGCTGCTGCTGCTGCTGCTGCTGCCCGTGAGCAGCTGCAGGGGCCCCTCTTGGCTGAAGTACTCGGGGGTTAGTGCTGGCAGCAGCAAAGAGACCAGCGGCGGCAGCAGCTGCTGCCAGCCCGATCTAAATTCTAAAAGGTAGGATTGGAGCCGTTCTGCAACAAACAACAAACCCTAAACCCTAAACCCTAAGCCCTAGGCACGGGACAATAAACAGTCTGCAATTTACCCGGGGGGCAGAACTCGAAGCAGCCGGAGCACAGCAGAAGTAGCAGCAGCTGCTGTTGCAGCAGCAGCAGCAACAGCAGCAGCAGCAGCGAACCTGTCGCTAGCTTTTGAGGGCCTGAGGCCCCAGACAAGTAAGCAGCAGCAAGCAGCGCCTCCGCTGGCAGACAAACTGAAAGACAGAAGCAAAATAAAAATAAAAATAAAAATAAATAAAGAATAAAAGCTGCAGCAAATTGAAAACAGCAGCAGTGGTGAGACAGCCTGGCCTAGGGTTTAGGGTTTAGGGTTTGGAGTTTGGGGACAAATGAAACGGCGGTGCAGAAAGGGCAGATGGAGGGGAAAACAAATAAAGCAGCAAAGCAGCAGCAGCAGCAGCAGCAGCAGCAGCGGCAGCAACAGCAGCAGCAGACAGAAGCCGACAGCAGCAAAGGCGGAGGAAAACTCTGGTGCAGCAGCAGCAAGAAGTATGAAGAGACACTCAGTTTAGAGAAGGACAAAAGCAAGTGCAGCAGCAAAGAAACACACACAAAGGCAGCAGCAGCAGCAGCTGCAGCAGCAGCAGGTGGGCTCACTTGCTGCAACAACAGCAGCAACAAACTGGGAGCAGGCAGCAGCAAGGCGCTCGCGCACTGCTGCTGCAGCATTAAATGTTGTCTCAGAGACTCTGGGCAAGAAAAAGAAGAAGAAGTCCCCTGATGCTGCTGCTGCTGCTGTTGTTGCTGCTGCTGCAGCAGTTGAAGGCTCCGCTGCCCCTGCTGCTGCTCTTCCCCCAAGCCTCAGCAGCCGGAAGAACGAGCCTGCCACCTGCAGCGGCAGCAGCAGCCCGAAGTGCAGCAGCTGCAGCAGCAGCAAGAGCAGCTTGAGCTGCAGCAACTGCAGCAGCTGCAGCACATGCAGCAGCTGCAGCGACCAAACGAGCCGCAGCAGCTGCAGCAGCTGAAGCAGCACCATAACATGCGCTGCAATGTCTGCAGCAGCCGCAAGAGATGCTGCACGAGCAGCAGCAACAGCAGCAGCAGCACGAGCAGCAGCAACAGCAGCAGCAGCACGAGCAGCAGCAACAGCAGCAACTCACGCCTGGCAGAGACAGCTGTCTCTCCTTTCTTACGAATCTGGACTCGTAGGAGCTCAAGACGTCGCTGCAGCAGCAGCAGCAGCAGCAGCAGCAGCAGCAGCCAGCAGGAGATAGCAGCAGCCGAGCAGCATCTGCAGCAAACCCTTAACCCCAAACCCTAAACCCGAAGCTCTAAAACAGATGCACACGGTAACAGCAAAGCAGAACGAACCTTAAACCCTCAGCACAAACAAGTTGACCCCAAACCCTAAACCCTAAACCCTAAACCCTAAACCCTAAGCCCAAAATGCTCGCCAAGACAAACTTACTAAAGGAAGGTCAGGTTCTTAATAAGAAACAAACAAACCATCAGGGTCACCTGAGACAGCAGCCGCACCCTAGACCCTAAACCCTAAACCCTAAACCCTACCCCATAAACCCTTGGCCTGTAAGACAATTCAGGGTTTAGGGTTGAAGAAAGTGTCTGCTCAAGGACCAAGGGCCTAGGGTTTAGGGGCCATACCTCAACATTGTTGTTTGGAGCAGCAGCAGCAGCTGCTGCTGCTGGTGCTGCTGCTGCTGCCGCGTCGCTGCTGCTCTTCACGGAAAAGAGAGGAAGCTTAGCAGCAGCAATAGCTGCTGCTGCAGTTTCTAGAGAGGCAAGACAAGCAGCAAGCACATCGCTGCATGCAGCATCGAACGGATCTGTTGCTGCTGCTGCTGCTGCTGCTGATGCTGCTGCGCTCTCGCCACTCCTGTTTCTCGTGCTGCGCTGCTGCAGCAGCAGCACCAAGTGAAGGGCCCGCAGCACTGGCGGGTAGGTCTGCTGCAGCAGCGCGTCCCTAAGCATTTCACTCACACAACCGCTGCTGCTGCTGCTGCTGCTGCTGCTGCTGCTGGCGCCAGTGCTTGGGGTTTAGGGTTTAGGGTTTAGGGTTTAGGCCTCACCTGTTCAGCTGCTCAGGGCTTGGTCTGTAATTTTTGATTTCATCAACTGCAACTTCCAAACGGAAGAAGAGTCGTTCTTGAATGTCCTGAAGCAGCAAAAAAGCCAGTCACCACTAGCATTAGCAGCAGCAGCTGCTGTTGCTGCAGCAGTAGCAGCAGCAGCAGCTGCTGCAGCAGCAGCAGGTGCAACGCACCGTTACCAGCTGGTAGAGCTTCTGCAGCAGCGCCACTGAGTCCTCTTGGCTGCTGTGCACGGCCACCATCTCCAGCAGAAGTGTTTCCCTAATATCACTGCAGCAGCAGCAGCAGCAGGAGCAGCAGCAGACGGCTAGAGTCTATCGCTTGGGGCTGTAGCCTGCAGCAGCAGCTGCTATCAGCAGCAGCAGCAGCAGCGCCGGACACACGACTACCAGTAGCAACAGGAGCA